TTTGCATAAAGTCAATATTGAATGAAAATCTTAGCATAAAGTGAATATTGAATGAACAATCTTAGCATAAAGTCAATATTGAATGAAAATCTTAGCATAAAGTAATTATTAAATGAAAATCTTAGCATAAAGTCAATATTGAATGAAACTCTTAGCATAAAGTCATTATTGAATGAAAAATCTGCATAAATTCAATATTGCATATTGCATTAAATCTTAGCATAAAGTTAATATTGAATGAAACTCTTAGCATAAAGTCAATATTAAATGAAAAATCTTTGCATAAAGTCAATATTGAATGAAAATCTTAGCATAAAGTGAATATTGAATGAACAATCTTAGCATAAAGTCAATATTGAATGAAAATCTTAGCATAAAGTAATTATTAAATGAAAATCTTAGCATAAAGTCAATATTGAATGAAACTCTTAGCATAAAGTCATTATTGCATATGGTATTACAATCTTAGCATAAAGTCAATATTGCATGAAAAACCTAACCATACAAGTATAATTTGGTCGAAAAATTATCCAATAACAAATTAGTGTATCTACAAAATCGGATCTTATTTGATTTAGTAACTGTTATTTTATACCAATTAATTAAACCTCATACAAGTCATGAGAGAGAGAGAGAGAGAGAGAGAGAGAGAGAGAGAGAGAGAGAGAGAGAGAGAGAGAGAGAGAGAGAGAGAGAGAGAGAGAGAGAGAGAGACCTGTGTTGTAAATAAAATAAAAGATAAATATCCACAACATCTTGTCCGTAGTAGGAAATTTTTTCACTGCTCCTTCTCGAACTTTGTTTTGTTCATAAGGAGTAACTCTCGTAATTTGCAACTTAAGAAAGATAAGGGAGAGGTTAATGAACGCATAAGGAGATAAACTCGGCTCCAATTAACTTTTCTGTCAAGTTCTGAATCTTTTCTCCCGTAATATGATATGAGTAAGAATTGTTACGGTACGGATTTGTGGGAAACAATTAATCTCTTCTGCCTGGCCTACTTACTGTTTCATGTTTTTGTGGCACATTTTTATCGTTCTTTTTATTTTCATTTGAATTTTGTAATAACGAAGTTCAAAGAAACATGTAGACAGGCTGACAGATCGAGCCTTTTGCGGCAATATGCAAAAATGTTTCTGGTAGTATCTTTAGATTGGTTCTCTTGTGTGTGTGTGTGTGTGTGTGTGTGTGTGTGTGTGTGTGAGAGAGAGAGAGAGAGAGAGAGAGAGAGAGAGAGAGAGAGAGAGAGTATTTTATTCCAATGGAAATTGCTTCATCAAAACGCTATCTAATGGCA